TTTTGGGACCGGTTGTGATAGGGTCCGCTTTTCAGTTGTAGTAGGAACTATTTTCCCCTCACCCCCTCCCCCCTCCCCCTCCTCCCCCCTCCCCCCTCCCCCTCCTCCCCCCTTCCCCCGCCCTCCCCCCCCCCTGCCACGCTATGTGGCTGGAACGCAGCCCAGGCCGCTTCTACGCTTGCGGCTCTAGAAGCTCGTGAACTCCCCTTAAGGCTGATGGACTAAGCCCAGCCAACCCCCTCCATGAATGCTGGAACAAGCATGCAACAAACATGTCTGAAGTGAGGCTTGCCTCCGTTACTCCCTCGACCCTAAACCCCACGTGTCAACTACATGCCATGACCTATTCGTGTGCTCCGCGCCGCCAGCCGAGGCGGGCGTTTCTTCGCAGTCACCATGCGTCACTCAGCTTCATTCTTGCTTGCAATCGCTACTGATGACATTATCTGACATCTATGCCCCTGGTCAGTATATGGTTACCAGGTCAGGGAACCTACGGTTTAGAGTCAAGGGCGTGGGACACCCGATGAGGGTCCCCAATTCAATCTACGCACTAGGACTCGGGTCGACTAGAGTGCTTGTCTTCAAAAACTCTCCTGACCTTGACTTAATGCTTGGAAGAGCATCCACCACTGACCCTGCTTTTGAGGGTGTTGGAAAGTCAGCGCGGACTCAAGATTGCTTCCCTTTCGTGTCTACCAAGGCAATGTGGCGCAATAAGTTAGTTGCCTTTATGCACGTACAGTTTCCCTTGGAATCGCAGAACCTTGTTCAATGATCTGAGTGTAAACCTAAACCTAGCACCAGGGACAAACATGCTTCCTCAGTCAGACAACGTATTACATTCTTGGGTATCATGCCAATGCAAGATCACAAAAACAAAACAAAAAAAAAACATGTTACTGACGCTATCTCATCACCGTAGTCAACCAGGAATGTCAACGTAACACCACGGGACCCCTAAACCCTAAGCCCTAATGTAGGCTTCTCTATCTTAAACCCAAGCATGCCGTGCACCTTGATATCCTTGACTGGACGCCACTGGGTTCCCGTGAGGTTCACCAGAACCTGCACCTCCAGGGGAGCCATGCTTCCCGTAGCCCCACTTTGGTTGTATAAGGGTTATGTAGGAGTCATATAGGGATTATATAGGGGATATATTGGGGTTATATTGAGATAAACGGAAACTACTATTCAGGGTTAGGGGAAGGCCTTCTGAAATGTCCCGATTGAGTTTCAGCAAGGGTTTGCGTGAACAAATCTAACAAACACATACAAAGACACTCTAGGGTCTTAGGTAGCTGGGCTTAGAGCCGTTTGGAGGGAACACAGAAGTTAAAATGTCACTACGAGGGCTTATCATGAAGGACCCACGCGCCTGTGGAACGACGTAGGACCTTGCTGTTTCAAAAGGTTTGGCCAAAACGGCTCAATTAATGGGCTTGTGGGCAGGCTGGTATTTAAGCGCCTGCTATAGAAGAAGAATTCTTCTTCAGGTTGGAAGCAAGGGACGCATCAGAGGGAGGAGCACCTGTCCCGTTGTGGTACAAGTACAGCTTCTGCTTGCGTTTGTCATAGAAATACTCTCCAGGATAATCCAGCTCCTCAACTTGGCAATGAGAATCCGCAGCAGCAGGCCAAAAAGGCTAAACTATGTCCAACACATCATATACTATAATATACTACAATACACCATAATCTACTATAATATACTATGATACACCATAATATACCATAATGTACTTATATGCTATAAGTTACAAACTATGAGATTGTCTTTAGGGGGGTGGTCTCGGGGTCCAAGTCCTCCATGACATTCTCGATGAAAAAGTCTCCTCCTGAATTCTCGCCTCGAGCTCCCTGGTTTCCACCGCGTCCAAAGGTGAAATTCCGGGTTGTGGCGTCGTACTTTGCCTTGCTCAAGAGATCTAAGGTGATGGGAGGCTTCTCCAAGAGACGGAACCCGGGCCCGTCAAAAACTACATCATCTACTGACTATACCTACTGCTCCACTGCTTCAGCGGATCGAAAGCAGATCCTACCTGCATTTGGCCCTTTCATGATTCTCACGTTGTGTTCCATATACATACACACAGATATGTATATATCTATATATATATATATGTGTGTGTGTGTGTTTCTGTACGTACGTATGTATGTATGTATGTATGTATGTATGTATGTATGTGCTTCTATTCACATTATGTACTTCTGCAGGCCTATATCATTGCTCTAAGACAGAGACGACAACTACCTTGCAAGGCCTAAGTTGCCACGTCGAACATCCAGTTTGCCCATCGGGCCGGTCGCCAAACGAAGAGTCCTCATTCAAGTCTGAAAGTTCTTCAGGAATCAACGGGTTTAGGGTTTGGGACTCTATGGAATTTTGGGATCATCTAAGGAGGTTGATGGTATATGATTTAGCGCTGTTTGGGACTGTTCAAACAAAAATGAACTATAGTCTAGACTCCTAGTATCCCCTTTCATAACCCCTAGACCCCTACAATGCTGCCCTATAGAATCCTCTATATAACCCCCTGCAAGAAGTTCAGACTATAGCTTCAAGCCCTAAACCCTAAACAGCAGTTTCCATTCTATTTTGTATTATCCCGATACAACCCTAATAACCCCCTTTAAAAAGTTTGGACTACGGCTCATGTGACCAAACCTATCCCAGGTTCTGGCATCCTCCGCGTGGCTGTAGGGGCCGTTGGGGAAGTCGTAGCTCAGACCTGACCGGTCCCGCGGAAATTTTCCCAATATTATGGGTACAGTCCCCCTGAAGTAGATAGAATGTGGGGTATATGGGCATCTTATTATGTAGGTTGATTCCACATTCTATCTTCTTCAGCGGGACTTTGCGTGTTTGGCGGTCCCTGTATAGTATGGATTACAGCATTTTGTGTCTGCACTGGGGTCCTCCTATTTAATTAGGAAAACTACCACTTGTAGTCTGTAACCTCACTATAAAGATGCAAGAGCGGAATTTTCCAGCAGTGTTTGTCAACAGGTCCTCACATACACCCATCCCCACAAAAACAGATCCGCATTACAAGGACGCCGCCCAAGGATTCAATACTTTGATGCTAAAGTCTCTGCAAGATTCCCACTTGCCTCATCCCACCCCTACGTAAGCCCTTTTCAGCCACCTACTTTCCAATCAGGCACCTGAAGGGGTCCGGAACGCAAAGGCGCCCCCTCCCGAGGGGTGCTCTGAGCACCAATAGGAGACTGGAGGGTCGTAGACACTGCATAGCCCACCTGCCCAGGACCATCCCATCTGGGCATTTCTCAAAATAGTGGTAGCGTTTTGGCGGTTCCAATAATAACAATAATCAGGACTCTCGTATTTTGATGTCTACATTGGGTTTCCCTTTTTTTGGGAAACGGCCTTTTTTTTTGGACGATTTTACAGCAGCCTCTTTAGTGCGGGAGGGGCGGGCAAGATTTGGATTGATGCCAACCCACACGAGCAATTCGCGCAAGTACAATTGGTAAAGAGCCAGCAGCACGCAGATGTGTTCAAAGGCCAAACCACAACTTCAACCGATCAAGTCTTCACAATGTTCTTGAAGCCTTAACTGTTAGGAATTGGTACGTTGATAGTGGAGTTTGACGTTCTCCTCGGGGCAGGAGGATCTTTTTGTTGGAGCTCTTTCTGGGCCCGTGCCTACACCGATCATGTACTCGTTGAACCAGTCGTTCGTCGTATTCCTGTAGTGTTGAGTTGTCTTGTCGGTGTAGTAGATGACGTTGCCATACTTCTGAAAGTCAGGTGGGGTCCACTTGCCCTTGCCTCCCTCGATCATGCAGCCATATCCACAGGATGCCTCGATGCCGCTTGGCATGTTTGGATACCTTGCGCGCGTGGCGCGCGCCCCATTGATGTGCAGTGCGGGCATCTCATCGAATCCAGACACGTCAGACACCCAAATATTCGCGCCGCTGACGTTGAAGGGCTTCCACGACACCTGCTTCCCGATTTCAACAACCCACTTGGCGAAACCTAATTACTCCTTAGGCCGAAGCGCATGACAACATACGCTTGTGGTTTCAAACCCGCTTTGTCGCCGCCACCTGTTACGTACCCCTTTGTTGCTGCCAGTTGTTACATACCTTTGCCACGGATGCTTGGCACAGGTATGCCCCCGAAAAGAACCTTGTCGCAAAAGTGCTTGTCGCCAGCTACGAGATTCTGTTACAAGCTTATGCCGCAGAATGGCCGGCCGAGCCTGTTACAAAGCAAGTCATTTTCATTCACAGCTAAATGGAGCACTCCATTTCGGGCCTGGATCTTCTTGCCTCCAGAGATTTGGACTCGCTCGCCGGGGTAGGCCATCATCACCAGCCTTAAGTATTGAAGCGCAGTTGTCCAACCCTGCTGCGACTAATTCTGACTGACAACCCTGAGCTCAAGCGGAGCTTGAAAAACTCTACGCGCAAATAACCCTAAAAATCCAAAAAAGTCCTACAGTCTAAGCCCAGAATGCTATAACGCTGAATCTTGAATCAGACTTTGCAACTCCTATCCTGCCAGGCGGCCCAGAGTGCTGGGGGCCCAAGTGCAAGGTCGTCTCCTGAGTGGCTGGATCAAGCTCTCCTGCCCTATGGGGCCCTTTTTCGGGAAAGCGGTGGCCAAAGCCATGGTGATACCTCTAGAAACCATTCTGCGACATGACGCCGCTCGTACCATAGAATCCCTTTGTGTTTCGTGATGCCTCTGTGGCCCCATGCAAGGCAAGGCTCCAGAAAGTGTGTGCCTGCGCGCAGGACCAGCGCTGCGCCTGCAACAATTCAGCACGTCATATCCTCCAGAAGCCCATGGTCTACACACATTACCTTGAAGTTAGGATGTCAGGCTGTAGCTATCACATGCAAAGTAATGTGGGCAGTGAGAAGCCAAATCTCATATGACTTGGGGGACCTTGGATTCCTTCATTTGTGGGGCCTGACTTTGTTGACCGTGCGCCCAGTGCCCATTGACGTACAGCCCCCTGCGGAAGCTTCCATGCAAACACGCGACTGTCATGACTAAAGCCTCCAACTGCACTTTCAGCGACTCCAACCTGTGAGTGTTGTGTGGGTCCCCAATGCATCTTAGCCATGACTGAAGTGGCCTTATACCAGGGATGTCGCGCTGAATGCGCTGCTTGGGCCCCTTCCCTGACAAACGTGGAACCTTATGGCAAGACATGGCAACAACGTACCTTTTGGGAGATGGAGTTGTTGAATGCTTGGTAGAGGCGATTGCTTCCGCAATATAACACGCGAGGTTCTCAGGAGCTTCATCTCCCTCCCCCTTCCTACACATGCGCATCCTAGCTGATTCGCTCGTGTAGACTTGCTCATGCCATGCCTGCTACTTACTTGTTTGTGTAGATGGCATCACGCCATGCCTACTACTCTTGACGTGACTTCAGCCATCGTCGTAAAAGCATGCCACCCATGCCCTCTTGGCGATATTTGAGGCCTCAATGGCTATGTCACTCCCATTAGACCTACTCGAGCTTCAAGGAAAACTTGACGAGAAGAAACGTGGGTGTATTGGCATCGCGTAGGCCGTGATGAGAACAAACTTGAACCTTGAATGGAAATCGTGCCCCAAACCAACTCCCCACAAAATAGCTGAAAGCCAAACAGAACTCAACTATGTCAACATTTATCAGAAAGCCGATTGTACATCGCATTGGCTTTTAAAGTGAAGGGCATTAAAGGTCCATAGCTATGTCTTTGTGTGGGCTGAAGTGTATCCATTCTAACTTATCACAGGTTGTGACCATACTTCCCGGGATTGTTTTCGGCTAGATTAGGATCCTGGTTGCCCTGAATAGCTCGTAAGACTGACATTCTCCTTTCCATACTATAGAGCTTGTGTTATAATTGTTTGAAAGTACGAATGTCCCTCTAAAAGAACATAATCCGGAGTGTGATGACTTTGACAAATCTTACACCGCTTACAACATCGCTGTGCGGGATGCTTCTGAGGGGCTTTGGAGGGGTCACTTCGAAGCCCTGAAGTACTGTAGGCGAGGGTGAAGTTTGAGAAACTCCCAAGTATCCTTGTGACTCCTGTTGGCTCGCCCTGATACCTCAACACTTCAGCCCTAAACTACTGCTGCTGGTGTATGCCTGCACGAGCCGCCTTGTCCGCCGCCGCCTTGTGATGAGCCGGAGGCGATAGGCTGGCTTTTCTATCACCCTCATCATGTTCCTCCTCACCAGTAATGATTGTGGCGGCAGCTGCGAAGCAGTGGCAACGGTGGCCACGATGGCGGCGACGGCGGCGGCGGTGGTGGGGCATCGGAGGAGGTGGTGGCGGAGGACATCATGAACATGATGATGTTGACCATTCACACAGACTTTGCCACTGCCAAAAACCCAGATTAGTTGGCAAGGCTTTTGAAGTTCGCGGAGCGTGATGAATGTTTTCGCCCTTTACCTTGAACAGTACTTTGAGAGGTGGGGCAATTCAGAGCAGCGTCTTCAAACCTTGAAGTTGAAAAACACTTCTGCCCTCTACCTTTCAAGAAAGCTCATGGTATGGTCTGTGGCTATGAGGATGCGGAGTGCGGACCTCCAAGAATTCCAATCTCCAAGGCTGTCATTACCCAACGAAGTCTGGACCCTAAGCTCCAAGAATTCGGATCCCCAGGCCTGTCAGTATCTCCTAGTTGCATGGGTCAGCCCAGAACCAGTAGTTTCCATTCTCTTTTCCATTATCTCAATATAACCCCTATATAACCCCTATATACTATAGTTTCCATTGTATTTTCCATTATCCCAGTATCCCCTGGCATGCCTGCAACGACTTCAGGGGCTGTCCCAGGCTTCCATCTCCGTCATCCCTGACGAGGCTGACGCACTGCAAAGTTGGGTTGAGGACCTAGATGTTGCACACATACAGTAAGCCGCTGATTCACACCCTAGATCCTACATAAACATAGTAGCATGTTAAGTCTTCTGCACCCAGCTCTTGAGCGCAAAGCATACTGAAAGCCGTAGGTTTTGATCAAAGATCCAACTTTGCGCGGGGCCTTGACAAAATTCCAGTGCATGGTGCAAAGCCGCAGGGGCTGCCTCCACAAGGACAACCTGGAAAACCAAATGCACATTCTATAATATACCAGAATACATTATAATACACCTTAATATATCGTCATCTACTATAATATATCATGATATTATATAATATACAATATTTTAAGGTTCCCAACCCTTGTCACCAGGGATTTGGACTTCCAGACAGTGACCCCTTTCTGAAAACCTTTTTGGACAGCAGGGGCCTGCCATCAACAGCCACGAACACTGCCTTCTCCGGCACTGGCAGCTCGGGTTCCACGAAGCTTTTGCCTGGCAAAGCTCTCAACGCAACCAACTGTCTCAATGAAAATGTTGGGCCACTGCCTGTTAAGCAAGAATGCTTTGGCTTAACTGGTGTGGGGCACAGTCTGGGACAATGTGTCGAGACGCGGCTACGTTGAGGAGGCCACAGCAAGCAAATTAAGCATCTCCAAATGCTACCTTCCAGGGCAGTGTGACAGTCCGCGCTGTTCAAGTCCAGCGCATAGTACAGACTGTCCTTGGCCATCTTGTGTTAACCATAATCCGTGGTCGAGCACCGTCGGCCGTACAACACTTTTGCACTGGCAAAGAACGGGAAGCTGCTTCAAGGGGCATGCTAGGTGGTCCTCATGTATATCACAACAGCCACTGGCCCAAAGTTCAACCCACCCCTACCCTACGACTGTCATGTCTTGTCCTAAGCTTTGCGCCACCCCGACCACATGTTTTGAAAGCAAGTATACCTCAACTCTAGCATCCATAAGCCCCAAGCCTTACACAAAAAGAACCGCGCATCAAACTTCTACATTAGGCTTGGCACTAGTGAGCTGTGGCCGAGATTCGAAAGCTCCCATTCGCGGAATGAGCCTGCTGAACCGCTAACTTTGGGAAGTGAATGCAACACATGTAGTGCATGCTGGGGTGTTTCAGTGGTTTGAAGGCGACATGCACAAGTCCGAGGTCAAGGCTTGGCAGGGTCCTGCTCAGTAGTTGTGAGTCTTCGAGGCCGGTTAGCTCATGTGTGCACATTTTTGCTTTTCATTACATGCAACACTACCCAACTTTCTGCACCTCTTGGGCTCATTAATACCTACACTTCCAACCACCTCGCAATTCTTGCGTGGCAGGGCACACCTTTCAGAACAATACTTTTTTGGGCTGCTGGACTAAGACCTGCCATCCCGACAAAGCATGCCACTTCTCCTCAGATTTCGATCATGGACCTTTCTCTTTACATATTTGCCATGGCGCTTGCCCGTTGAGTAGTTTGCATTCACAATGTCCTCCAAACATCTTTTTAAGTCGACCCCGGAGAGGTGTCATTTTCTTGGCTCGTGCTCTATCTACATATATACGCATTCATCTCTGAACTGCACCTTTGAAACCCAAAAGTCCTGAATCCCTAAAGGCGAGGTTGCTGCCGAGAGGCTTCTTCCCGTACTCATAGGCCAGCTTTCGCATCCCACAGTCGAAGGACGCTGGCACAGAGTCCACCTAAAGGAGAAGGGTAATCGGAATGCCCAACTAACGACAACTCCCCCAAACGGTGAAGCCAATGCCTGGAGTTGATAATCATAGTATCATTATCTCCTTGTCATCTACTAGAACCTTGGTAGGCAAATAAATAGTTGACGCAAAAAATGAACTGTATTGGATCATCAGCACGACCATATGCCCACACGGGCAACGCTACAGATTGGCTACCCCAGAACATCCCAACCAATGAGCCCTGCATGCATTTGACAACTAGATTATTTGAGAACCCCAACCGTAAGCACCGAATACACAAATAGGCTTCGAAACGCATCACCTTCAATCAAGAGCTCTAGACCGTTCTTATAGGCATCACCAAGCTACGTGCTTGGGCTGCCCGCGAAGAGGCCACTTCGCAGAAGCACCCGCCTCAAATCTAACCATGGCATGGGAATATGGGCCCTGCTTTGTGGGACTACGGGGCATGAGCACGAAAGGTGCGTTCTTGTGATCTGGGATCTAAGATCGTAATCACGCGCCCGGGGCTGATTGTATAGGAGCTTTTGAGGGCCTGCAGCAGTTTAGGCACTGTTTCTGGCTTGTCTTGGTGGGCCCTGCATAGCTATCCCAAGGCATACAATGATATCTCTGAAATCAAGCGCCCGTGGTAGCAATGCCCTACTTCGAAACTTGGGCTGCATCACAAACGAAAACGCCTCTGAATCAGCAAGCGCTTATGTGACTTCTCATCTTGGCTGCCAAGCCAATGCCCCTACGATTGCTGTTTGGATTCTTTACGAAAAGTTTTGCCGCCGATTCGGGCCCGCCTGGTTTGAGACTCAATTTTGAGGCTTCTCACCTTAGGCTGGCACCAGGAAAAGAAACGCCAACCACCGATGCATGGCTCCCTCTGGAAGACTGCGCGGGACTGCCGAGGCAAAGGGGCACTGATCTGATAATGGCTGCAAATATTTACTGCTCTATCCCAGCAAGTCCATCTAGCATTGCTTCAAGATCTTGTTTGAATCATTCATTCCCACGCTGTCGGACACTTCTTGTCTCACTGTATGGATATCGCCTGCAATACCATCCGTATCATGAAGTCGACGTACCATGGAAACAGCGTAGGCACTACGTTCTGACTCCAATCTGCAGACCAGTACAACATGCATCACAACCCAAGCATGGCACATCGTAGAACCAGCAAGTCCTCGCAGATATGTTGGAATTCCCCTGCAAAGCGCTTGATTTGGGAAACCCTTGGAGTTGATGATTGTCTGGTATTCCCCAACCCAAGACCCAGAGAAAGCCTGTAGAGTCGTTCAATGTCGTTCAGTTCATGCTGTAGCTAGATAAGATTTCCACCGGCGCTCTCAGAACTCAAAAAATGGGCTTCTGTAGAGAGAGTGCACTGCCCTCAAGCAAATAAAGGACGGACCAGGGCCGGGAAAAGCGGATTTGGCATTGGCAGATGAAATTGGTATTGGCGCTGGCTCCGGACCGTGACATCCTATGACCCGACAGACTAACAACTCCGAAGCTACGGCCAACAAAAATCTCGCACAAACAGCAGCGGTTTCTTTCGAAGCTATCGGTAGCACCTCCTCACGCTGCCATTGCTGGTCAACCATGTTTCTTTGGATGAAGCTGGGTGCCCTGACGGCTAGGAAACTATGCTCTAGGGCGCCCTAGAAAGAGGGAAACCCCTGGCGGGTGAGACGAGGCCGCGTCACTCATGCGACTATGCTCACCTGAGCTATGCAACCAAAGACGCCACACGCGGCCTGTGGAAAGCTGTGGGAACCTACATGTGCAAATCCGAACCCTCTGCAGGCGCGTTGCTTCCTGCAACCCCCATTCAAGGAAACTTCAAGGCAACAACCATTTGCAATGTGAATCTGACGTGCTTACCAAGTTTGCAGAACGAACTTCCCAAGCAATGCCTCAAACCCCTCATTCCTGTCAAGCTCTATCCCACGGCCCGCACACAAGCCCTGGAAGAACACACTCTCTCTCTCCGTCTCTCTGTGACCTTTATATGAAGTCTCCCCAGCCCAGTGCCTGAGCGCTTCACTTGCCGATGCCTGGCGCAGGCGTCGCGTTCCGCGTAGCCTTGAAGTAGATGCAGGTGTACCTCAAAAGTCTTGCTTCTTGGCGCCGAAGTCGAAACATGTTCATGGCTGCATGCTGGCTTCTCATGGGCCATTCTCCGCCAGGCAGGTAAATGAGAAGCAGCGCATGTTACCTGATATATGAGAAAACCATTCCTGACATGTTGCCCGAACATCTCTCTTGCTTTATTCCGTCAAAACCCCCAACTCCATGCAGCGTAATTAACATCAACGCAGAGCTCGGCATCTTTCTTTCAGATGTAAAGCTGAAAGTGTGCTACAACAACCTTTGTGTGACCTGATGCCCTTGAGCAGCTGGCTGCATCTGCATTAGCGACTCTGCGTTCTGCGCCTCGGCAGTGTATCTCTGGCTGTCCTATGGGAGTGATGTTGTGGCCTGTGCCAATACGCAACACATCCTCTGCAAACAAGTAAACTTTTCTGCTAGAGAAGGAAACCCCGTCTCTGGCCAACCCACTGAGAACCCTAAAGCATGCCTTCAGGAAACTCTCATTTCATGCCTCGACACCCCTATCTTCTCCTGACCCATGAAAAACCGTAGGCCACATGTTAAGTGCACCTACGCATCCGGGGAAGCATTGAGTAAGGAGTTGTCACAGTCCTACAGCACGGCTCAAGGTTGCATTCAGGAGTAACATGTTTTCAAGGTACTGTACCGGGTTCTGTTTAAACCGTGAATCAAAAATCCTTTATGCAAACAATCAGAACAATGTGACAAGCAAATTACGTGCTGTTCCAGTTGTTTTGGGGCACGGCGGCAGAACAGTGATATACAAACTTAGACCCTGCCGTCCTCGCTAAATGCCGTCTGAGACAAGCAAAATGCACCGTATTGTATCGAGGAAGTCTGTACAGTATCACACGGCTCTTTGCAGGGGTACGGTTGCAATTTCGGACAGCTTGGCGCATGCCAAGTCTATTTATGCGGCTTACGTGGATCCTGAATGCAGGAAGAGTTGACACCATCACCATTACGGGTCCCAATGTTAGCACCGGGCCCTGTTTCTGCAGTCAGCCACTTAGCACGTGAGGCTTGACATCATCCTACGTGTTGGCGAATCTTGGATGCCAGGCGTGCAGAGCGTCGATCCATTCGTCCTCCTCGGTTCAAGGAGACTGTTGGCACAGATGGGGGTACCCTGTTAGAGAGTACAAGGGCGGCAGTATGAGGAGGCCGAGTCTACAGTAAGCTTGGAGTGTGCTGCTCCTTACTAGGTTGGAGAATTATCAAAGCTACCAGATGCCAGCTTCTCGGCGGCTCGTATGCTTACCCTCTCAAGCAAACTCTGCACACTCCATGACCTTGCTCACACAGTTCACCCTACATCCTCATGGCGGGGGATGACGCGGAGTTATATATGCTGCCTCCTCTAGCAGCAGAGTTAGGCATTCCCTTGAAAAGGGAGCCGGGCAGGCTATCGAACTAGTCGTTATGTGGGATTTCGAAGGCAGCTCGGAGAACTTTTCCGCCCTATCCGAGAGAGCGTATGGGCCACTGATCCTCTCCCTCTGGTTTATCAGGCCTGTACGGCGAGAGCTCCACTCAAGACGATACAAGCTAAATAAGTAGCAGTGAGTGTTAAATTGACATCACTTCGACCAATAAGGCCATTACCTTAAAAACCCTAAACCGCAAATGTAGGCTTAAGCAGTAAGCAGCCCTTCGAGAGCCAGATTTTCAGCCTGGACGTCAAAGAACTGGCTCACGGCAAACTTCAGTTCCTGCTTGCGAGTCTGATTGAACAGCTATCTGACTGCAAGGCTGCTTGACGAGATCCTGTGCGGCCCCCAGTACCCTAGAAAATTTGCAGAAGTCTCCCTGTCAAGACGAGTTCATCTGGCGATAGCGGTCCTATTTTCAAGGGTGTCCACATGAATTGAAGCGTTGATGCCAGCTAGAGTTCATGTCAGCGTCAAGAAGCTCGAAGTCAGAGCCTTCGCAACGCGGTGCAAGTTCACTAATTAATTGGAAGTCAAGGCTTCCTAGCAGTGTACAGCCCTCACTTTAGAAATTGAGGTCTAAGATTATGCTCAGTCCTGTTCTGAAAAACAAGCAGCTGTTGCACTGCAAGGTCTTTCTAGCCCCAAGAGCAGGACGTCTTTCCTGAGAGTAAGGCTTTGGAGCAGCAATACCTGACCCCGACAGATCCCCTCTGAAAAGCAAAGTGCCCCAGATGCACAACGCGTCAGCCTCCTCTACATGCTCCCGGCGCAGGCCGTTTTAAACCCAAGAACGCCGTACCTAATTACGCCCTAAGCCCGACCCCTAAACCCACAAAACCCTCAAACCCGAACAACCCCCAACAAAAGCCCCAAATTTCCCTGTAAACCCTTCGCGCGAAGCGCCTCCCAGCTCAGCTCCAAGCCATGTCCGGCAGCCTTCGCTGAGACTCCAGGCTTCGGGGGGGAGGATGTTGCTACATTATTGTGAGATGTGTGTATACATGCATGCAGGGAAAAATGTTTCTGATACATAAAGGTGGTGTAGGAGTCGGAATTATAGTGTGCATGTTTTTTGGTCGCTTTCCTTTTGGCGTTCCCGGTGCACATCTTTAGATGGCAAGTTCACTGCGGCTTCGGGACTAGGAACCGGGCTTGATCAAAAGAAAGTATTGAACCAATATCGGGGTACCCTGTCCTAATTATGTTCTATCTACCTACGGGGGACCACAAGGCCAAATGAAAAAAGCCTGGGTAAGAAGCATGCTGTTACATGATCATGGTTAGTAAGCCCTGGGGGCTGGCTGTGCAAATAAAGTTGTCTGTGGCCGGGATCTGTTCCAAAGCTTTCAACGATTCTGGGTTTGTTGTTAGGATTGCAATCTCCGGCCCAACACTTTCTTGAAATGAAAAACCTTGCTTCCTTTAGGTGCCGTATGCGCAACAAACAGCCCAAAAGCATGTAGCAAAGTTGTAAAGACCCCTGGGCACCAGAAGTCCTTTTCTGCGGCGGAAACTGGTGAAACGAGTCGCAACCAAGCAGGCTGAAGGTTAAGAACATCACCAGGTCTACCTTTAACTCCCCGTCATTATGTGGCAACTTGCAGCAAGAGCTCTGCAATCCCGATGGCTTTTCTGTGGTTATATAGTCGCCTCTGCCCGCCTGTCAGAACCCAACAGCGGATGTACTTTGTCCTAAGCCACAAGCCTGTTCAGATGTAGCACGTGTGAAAACGCAAACCACTTGACAAAACCTATAAAACAACCATGTACATTCCAGCATGCTCGTCTCGAGAAATTCTGAATCAGCACTTGCTCAGTGCCGCTTGACTGGCTGCGGGCTCATCATTGCAATCCGGTCTTTGTCGTCCAACATGTACCTGGACAGGATCTGTCTGCATGTCATTTTGCCATCCATACGTAAGGGCGCATGATCAGTTGGCAACAAATGTGAGATTCAGAGCAGCTAGAGATGGAAAGGCGGCAGTGCTCTTCACTACAGATAGCCGTGCATCCTTCAACGCCCTAACCAGAAGAATGCATGCTTGATACAGCCAAGGGCGCATGACCCCCAGAGGGATGCCGCGAAAAACAGTGAAAACGCCGGCCACGAAGAGAACTGGGCCCAGAAAGGCAGGCCTGGCCCCCAAACACTTGTTTGCCACTTAAGGGTTTGAAGCATCCACGCTGAGGGTGTTGGGGTTGAGGTCTCATGTTCTCGATTCTCTTCTTGAGTTTATGCCAAACCTACAAGCAGAGCGCAGCCATTTGGACCCTGCACGGGCGTCAGGGGCCTTCCCATCTTTGAACCCCAAAATTGCTCAACAATACTGGTGGAAATCTAGTGGCCCAGTTGGCCCCCAGACGGCTCCATTGCCCTCAACGTGGCCATCTAAAATGAATCGGACAGCAGCACCACGGACCACAAGCACATACACCAATCACTGCGGCCAAGCGCGGTCATCTGACAATTTGCATGGGAACCTTTTCGACTTCTAGAAGCTGATTGAACACTGCCTTGCCTTGCCGATGCCTTTTTGGAGGCTCGATACCACAACCTCCTCCCAGGCTTCGCTTGCAGGCCACTGCTGGAGTCTCATGTTTAGCCTCCGGTCTGAGGGTGCACTTCCCTATCTTTTCCATGGTGCCTCCACTTGAGCATTGTTCTTTAAAGTTAAAGCCCGTATACTAAGACTGACTGCCTACGCAAGCTACGCGGATGGCTTTTTCCCTGCAGAACAAACTACGCAAACGCACTTTTACTATCGTGCTGCCTACGCGGA